GCTTACGCAGCGACCAGGTTTCTGACGCATACGTTAGGGCAGGAAGTACCGTCGAGTCGAAAAGGTGGGCACGGAGTCGGATGTTCTTTGTTCTCTTCACTACATCCTCAATGCTCTTGAAAGCTCCCCAAGCCACTCATTTTCTTCTGCTCAGCTCTCGAGCTAAGTCGTTCATCATATTGATTTCCCGACCTAGATAGACATAATTGGAGCATTCGGAGATATTCGTTCAGTTGAGCGTGAATGGGGCATGCGAAACTAATCCGTTCTTCATGAACATTGTTTTTGTGAGATTTAGTCGAAGACCAATCCTTCCTCATTGGACCATAGTTAATGGTTTCGTACTGCTTTAAGTGCTTTCGCTTTCTGCGAAGCTTTGTTTTCAATCACTATATTTGAGTAATATAATGACAATACAACTAAAATGTGGTGATGCTGCTTAACAATGACAAGTTCGAATATTCACCGTATTAAAGTTACACACTTACGATTAACCCAAATCTCGACAGAAAGCACCATGAATGGCATAGTAGCTAGAAATCTACTGTCCGAAAAGTAGAAATTTAGAAGTCATAGGATAGACAGTGCTCCAAAAATAGTGAAAATTCTCCCTGAACACAGTACTAGCCTATGATTAGCTGAATTCTAAGCTTAAAAGAGTTCATCACACTTAAAGAAAATGTTTCACATTCGAAATTGATCTATAATCTCTGAAAAAAATAAATACAAGACGATTATCGGCTTCGTTAAAGCTTGAAGTCTGAGTTGCATTCGCTACTTGTGTACCTTGTCTATGTGGACATGTTCTACGTCCACCTCATTCGCGAACCCATCGCCAATACGGCGCTCTGTGTGCATTCCATTTCGTGAAAATCCCAAGAATACCTAAATGATTTACATGATACCAAATCATCACCAGAATATGATTTACTAAGCGAACATATCAGTTCAAATCTTTAAAAGGTAGTAAAGGACGCATCCTCCCAACGGTTTACCGCCTTATCGTGGCTGAGAGGTGTTCCTGGATGTCGGACTGCGATATACAGCGGCGGGATTCGTCCTCCGACAAGGTTTCCTAAACTGAGAAGTAGTTCAGCGTTTCCATCAGGAAGCGCAGCCAAGGGTAAACCAATAACAGGGTCGACCACCGCCCTGATAGCAAACTAGTCGCATGGTGGCAAATCTCGCTCTGGTCCACAAGGGCAGCGACTGCCTATGGTGGCGACGACCTAAGGCAGACTTTGGCCTGGCTTTCCTCGGGACACAAGGAAACCACGATGGCTAAACCAGCATGTCTCCATGGAAAACAAATTATTCTGGTTCCCGCATAGCCAGTGAAGACGGGTCATCAAGTATCCAAGTAAGCAGTAAGTAATAAAACTGACTCTAGTAAAAAACCAAGAGTGACGTTCGAATAGTTCGATAAGTCTATTCTTATTTGTTTTTTCTGCTACTTGCTCGAGTGTTGTTGGACTGAGCGAACACAACCCAAATAAAGGAGATGATGTTTCTGAATCTATTCACGATTAACTATGTTACAAAACCACATATATGGGTATTCAACAAAAAATGTTGGAGATCTTTCAGGATATGGGGTGTTCGAAATCCAGTGTTTATCGATTTTTCCACTAGCAAAATCACCACACTGGAAATCAAAGGGCCACTAGTTATAATCACAATTTTTACTTATTATTTGCAGCAGACTCTGCTTTTAATAGCACAGTACGTTGCGAATATCTCAGCATCACTGAAGTGATTACTGATGGCACTCATCAATAAAACTGGTTTAGAGACAGGCGAAACGAAGGACCTGCATGCTGTAGTGGTGAACGCGTTAGCTCCCGGACAGGACAATAGCGCTTTCGCTCCCTGCCGCAGACATCACCCACGGCCACGTGTTTTGCAAATATCTCAGCATCATTGAAGACCACAAGTTGTTTTTTCAGTAGTACCAAAAATACTCGAGATGTTTTTGTATTTTTGTCGGATCACATCAATGACAGTTGGCTCACGAATGGGAAACGCTTAACAACAACGATTTCATCTCTCATCAACGTAATCTAGGCTAAAATAATAATGAGTACTTCCACTTAAAAGCCCTACTAATAGCAAAATTAGACCATTAATCGCCACCGTTCTAGAAGAATTCCTGTTGTGAAGCAAGAAAGATTTTCGGCACATTCCCTCATTCACACAGCTAGCATGCGATCACTCTCCGGAAACGGTACAGGATGGAACTATCCCAGGTGGGGAGCATAATCGCCAAAATAGAAAAATTCAAGTGAAATGGTAGTATCGATGAAATATGGAACATTCTGAAAATGGCTCATTAAGGCCTTAAGAAAACGTGCCCAAAAGTCCACAATAAGATCAAAAAATAAATGGGAATACACTAACAAGGCAACACTTAGACTATACAAAACGTTATGAAAATAAGGTTTGGTAACTTGCATCAACTGCAGAAATAAAGATTTTGCAGACGTCGAAAATTCGTGAATTTGTTCTTACGCTTTCAGCTTAGGATCTACACTATTCCGATTCTCAAGCAGCTCATTTCTAGCGGATACGGTCATGATAAGCTAAGTAAAAGCTACCACCGCTGAATTTCGTGAATATGGTTAACGATTTAATTTCAAAACTTCTTTAAGAAGACTTGAACAAGAGAACGATATTTATGTTGTAAAGAAGATATGTGATACGAGCACATTTTTGAGGACAAACGCCGAAAACGGCCACACTTCTCGTCCACGGAGAATATCCCGCCTTCAGTCGCTTGGACTTCGCGGCGACGACGACACTCCACTGCTTGATGTTTCGTTCTGGAAATAAACCAAGTGAAATATCTAAAAATGCCACCGAAAAGTGACGATTGGATAGCGAAACGTTCTTGATTGATAAAAAAAAAACCCTGTACGGAATAATGGGCACAACCTATTCCTTTCATATTTCAGGTAAAATGTTACAGCTCTCCGCGGTGATCAGTCCCTGGTGGAAGCGCCATGCATCCGACTACATGCATCGTTAGCGGTGACTGAATGCATATCTGGCCTATACAATGAGTTGCGGTGGATTATCAATCTATTCAGTCAGTGCTCTATACCTTTAGACAAGTGTGGTAAGATTTTGTGGACCTCGGAGGAATGAAATGTTTGACCAGCCGGCGGCGCGGGACGGTACGCGTTTATTGCTGGATATCTCTAACCATTGCTCTACACAGGTCCCCTACATCTCAGATGAAAGATAGAAAAAAACTAGGGTACACTAATTCTTTGCCTCTTACCGAGCCATTCTCTACCCGATCGACAGCCTTCATACGAAGTACAACGAAACGAATCGGAACACCGTTCGCATCACTGATCAATTTCGTCAACATCAACGCCGATTTGAATTGTTCACCAGGACAATCATTGATCTCAAGAAGACTGAAAAAAGATTCAGCACATTTTTTAGCATAATGTCTGATTCTACTTACTATCGCGGATCGATAAAACTATTTACTACCAGGTGCGACCGCACCAACGCAAAACTCCTTCACTGATTGGCAAATACTTAGTGACAAATGAACGTACCAGTCATTTTCTCTCAGAGGAAGATTCACCCCGTTTACTTTTGTGATCTGGAGATAACCGAGTCTCCCGTGAGTGACGATAATGTCACAAGTGGTCAACGGAGTTTCCACGGCTAACACCTACAATGATAAACTGAGTATCTATCGATCGATGCCTACCAGTGCATTGTATCACGCTTTTTCCTCCTTCTGTAACTTTTGCCTATTTCTTTCTCATCCTTCCATTTTCTCTTTATTTTAATTACTGTTCAACAGCAAAATCTAATTTCTTTCTTTCAGAACCGTGATGTTTTCTTTCCGCTGCGCAACATTTTCTTCCGTCCCCGCAGAAGCCGAACAAATGCTTGCAACGAAACTTTGACTAGAGGAAATGCTGTCATTCTATAGAAAGAACTGTACTAAAGTTAAAGTTAGAACTGTAAAGTCCAGTTGAGAATGCTTCATATGTTTTTTTGAACGGCCATCCTAACACTATAATATTAAGTTTTTTCAGTGAATCGCCCAGACTCGTCCCAAAAGCTAACCAATATCTGTTAAATAAGTGAATTTTTAATAACATAAATGTCTTTACAATTAGTGGAAGTGAACCTGATCATAGGAGCTTTGCTTAACTATGTCGAACAATGCTCGATGCCCGGTCCTCTTCTCAGTTTCTCTCATGTCATCTGGACCTCGTTCTCGAATTGTCGCCAACTCGTCGAGAATTTTCTCACGAATAGACGCACTTGTTACACCGAGATGAGCTGTAAATTAATGAGAAATGATTCGAAGATGAGAGAAACTCCTCATCATCAACGTATAACATACGAAATTTCGATTCGCACCATTAACAGCGCTCTGATGAGGAAAAACTACTCCCGCTACAAACAACTCCAACGAAAATCCCCTGTAACTGTGGAAATAAGGTGACCATTGAACTTGCAGGAGATGTCATTTGAAAAAAATCGTCGAGTTTCGTCTGAAACTTTAATAAAAGTTGTTAACGAACAATAGATAGCTTTCAAAGCGCAGTGCATTTGAGCGCTCCAATACTCGCAGCTATCCGAGATCGAGGTTCATCAAGCGGTGTTGTTGACGAATTACTATCGGATTCGATGAGGTACTTAATTGATCATGAGGTGAAGCATGCGAAACACATTTAGGTCAACGACATTCACCATTGATAGACAGCATAATTTGTTTTGTTTTCTTATCATTTTCTTTCTTTTTGTTGTTTGTAATCGATCACTGGTCATTTTCTAAGCTCTATTGCGAACAACGTCAAAAGTTATATGGGAATATTAGATGTTACTCTACAATTCATTGGGTTTAAAGCCCTATTGTAAGAAATTTCGCGAGAATTCTATGAAAACTCGTTCCTGCGTCGTCAGAAGTAGTAATGAGAACCATTCCAACAAACTTACAGAGACAATGATGGTCCCACGACAGTAGGTCTGTCCCTCTGAGATCGTAGCCAATGAATAACGAAGCCACATCGTCCAGATTACATGCTTGAAGCCAAAGCAGCACGTCGTCAAGGGCCCATTCCTGTAGCAAGAATGCGTTTGTCTACCTTATATTTCTCACTAATTTCCGTTATCATAGAATATTTAAGCTATATAACAGTATAAAATACTATCACAGTCTTAATACTAGTTGGAGAATCAGCTTCATGGCTAATCGGCATTGTTTATCCATGATCTATACTGAGCCTATAGGATATTCCAAGCCAATAAAAGTAAAATTTAATGTTCGAAAAATGCCACGAAAGACAACTGCTATTTAAAACAAGGAAGTAATAAGTACGAAAAATAATACGTTTCAGTATTTGACGGTCATATTACGCACAGAAATCTTGGACCCTTTTTCTTAAGACCTCTTCTACGTTAACACACACCTGCATTCGTGGCAATTATAAATAAAGTCTATTCAGCATAATGCTGAGATATTTGCGAAACTCTGGACCGTAGGCCTCTGAGATGGGGATTAATCACGGTATTATCCCTTCAGGGCGCTAATGAATTCACCAACACACCATATACGGGCCCTCTGTTTCGCATTTCTCTCAGCATGGTTTTATAGGGTAATAGCGTGTTCGATCCTTACCGCAGACGGCCCGGAGTTTTGCAAATATCTCAGCATCTTTGTGGTTATATTGCACAGCTTTTTTTGATACCCTGTCATCAAAAAAAGAATAGGCAAAATGATTATAAACCCTATTCTTCAAAAAAATGGCGAAAAATTTTTAAAAAAGCTTTAAATATGCATAGAATTTAATCCTTGCCTATGAGGAAGACACTAATCAGTGAACACCTTTGACCAAACTTCAATGTTTTTACCAGCATCACCGCTACTATTTACAATCACTACAACCCACCTTCACTTGATTTTTGTCCAGTACTGCAGATATCTTATTCGACGGAGGACGCATTGTTTGGACGACAATTCAACAATTCCAATACGAAGACGTTAAAGCTGTTTGCTTATTTCACAAACATGACGCTGTTGAATTGTTCCTTAAACCGTAAGCCACTTAATCGGTGATGATGAAGAGATCGGGTTCGAGTTAGGCTATATTTCTAACAATCTTTACAATCAATGTAGAATATCGTCGACCGGATCTGCTGTCAGGACCCTCATCTAAACAATGACCATAGCTCTATCTGACCCAAGCTCAGTACCATAGACCCTGTATTCGACAGAAGACAACGATGTTTACACGAAGGCGAAGAGAACGACTTTCAATAAGAAGATGCAGAAGATGTTTGTTTGTTGGGCAAAGAAAAGGCTGTATTCGCATGTCGGAGCACTCTCTGAGCCGTAAGTCTTCGAATCGAACTGTATTTGAAGCGCTTGGTTGGTTGCACTGATACAAGCAGACAACCGCCACCACTAATCCCTCAAATTCTAGTGGAAGACGAAGCCCATTCACTTCCATGACACAGAACGACTAAATGAGAAACCATCACTTTATAAACTGAAGCATTGAGAAAACAGAAATAATAGATAGGTTTTGGAAATTTTTTTAGATTTGACCATCCTAAACACAAATTATGACAACTTTTTTCCGGAGTTTTACAAATATCTCAAGATCATTGTGGTTGTAAAACAAAAAGGACGAAGCTCTCGGCGTTGATCAATCCCCAAGGGATGCGCTAATCATTCGACTTCATTAAGAGTCGTTTGGAGTCGATAGAATGCATATCTGGTCTTTACAATGACTCGCAGTGGCCTACCGATGTATCGAGCCAGTGCTGTTATCCTCCCAGACAAGTCCGTTACCAATTTGCCGACCAAGGAGGGATGGAAGGCTTGGTTGGCCATGGGTACGGAGATCGATTCCACGTGTGTGGCGCAGCGGCGCCTCTAACCACTGCGCTACACGCGCATTCTGGTTGTATCACACCTAATACGTTGCCATAAAAATTTGTAATAGGCAGTAAATAAAAAGTTAACCACAAGATTGATGAGATATTTGCAAAACTCAGAACAGCAGGTGCCTGCGCTGGTGAACGAACGCGCTATTGTCCTCTCCGGGGAGTAAAGCGTTCACCATCACACCATGGGTGTCTTTCGTTTCACTTGCCTCGCAGCTAGTTAAGCTGAGGATGTAGTTGAATTCACAATGTTTTGCTTTTTATTTTCTGCCTTCTATAATTTTTATGGCAGGGTATTAAGCGAAATACAACCACAAGATTCCTGAGATATTTGCAAAACTAAGGACCGCTGACGGCATTGATCGATAGAACTAGCTGAGACAAAGGCGAAAGGAAGAACCCACATGGTGTGGTGGTGAACGCGTTACTCTCCGGAAAGGACAGTAGCGCTTTCGTTCCCCACCGTAGGCCCCTGCGGTCCGGAGTTTTGCAAATATCTCAGCATCTTTGTGGTTGTGTTTCGCATGATCCCTGCCGTGAAAATTGTAGTAGGCAGAAAATAAACAGTAAAACATTATAAAGTTAACATTATGACAACTTTGCTCACCTTTTATTCGTGGCCTACTATAGTTTTCGTGGCAGGGTATCATGTGAAATTCAGCCACAATGATGCTGAGATATTCGCAAAACTTGAGCTCTGGGCCAGGTCGAACCACGATTCCTCTTTCCGGGAACTCGCGCACCACATACCGCACCACAGATCCTTTTGCTCTGCGTTTGTCTTTCTCAGCTAGTTTTCTACCTAACGCTGGCATCAGTAATCACCCGTCAACGGGATTGATCTGGGGAGCCCAAATCGGCATGTGTGTATATATGACCATTTTTTGCACCTCAGCGAGCAAACTGATCTTTAAAAAAAATTTAAAAATAGTGGGACCGCGTAATTGAAAAGAAAATGATATTAATTAAGCCTGGATGTGCGAAGGATTTCCCAGTGAGAAAAAAAATAAGCTGAGCTGAAACGTCTGAAAAAAAAGCATGCTTTCCATTTATGATCTAAAAGTGTTGTAAGCTTCAACAAAACATTAATCTTCATTCCAACTGATTTGACTACAATACAATTTTTCTGGAATAATAGATTTCTAGAAGGTTCCGTATATTAACATTCTGCAGGGAAAGAATTACAAAATGCGACGAGAGGTCAGAATTCAAGGAAACTTCGTGACCACACCTCCAACGGTTCACGCTGAGAAATTTGACAACCTGTACTGAAATCCCGTAATTTTCTGTCTTCAAGTGTTTTTTTTTCAGTATTTCTCCCAAAATATAGTCCTCTCTCAGCCACAATCCCTTCAAGAGTATGTAAGAAAAAACGCTTTAAGAGAAAATATTAAAAGTAAATAAAATGCAGAAGAACCAAAAACAACAGAAGAAGAAACAACGGCTCTGTTTCCAACCTCAAGCGGTTTCCTTCTCCAACACGCCTCCTTCATCTTCTCCTTAGCCCGTCGATTTCGCCGTCGTTGACCCCGGTTGTCGGACGACGACGGCAAAGCAGTGGCCATTTCGAGATCCGGACAGCTGTTCCATAACTGACTGCTAAGAAAGTATTTAAATGCAATAATAAAGTGAAATGTCCACGATTTCATGAAGACTTGACATTGGAGTGCCCTCTTTTCCAGTAAAGGCTACAATGACGCGACGTAGTTACTATAAGATCAAGTAGACTTCTGTTTGTGCGCTGAACAGAGTGCAAAAAGTGTATGGTAAGGTCAAAAAAGTATTACATATAAACAAAAAAATCCATGATGGTAAGATAACCAAATTAGGAAACAAAGCCTTGCTTCTGAAAGAGAACGGACGGCAATGATGAGAACTTCGCTACACAGAAAATTCTTGAAGGAAAAAACTTACAAGCTAGCAATTTCAAAAAGCAAAGAATAAAAAAGGGTTGTCTTCACCTGGACGTATAACCGTATCGATTATTACTTGTCTCGATGTCTTGCTCTTTTCTCGGTCGCAGTACTGTAACTCTGTCATCGACTATAACCCTTGCTGAAATAAATCTTCATTTCTTCATTAACCTCGTCGAACTATTGTTACACCAGATAAAAGTCGATAATGTAAGGAAAACGAGGATTAGAAATAGTACTATTAAACTCGTGTATAATGCTGAGATATTTGCAAAACTCCGGACCGCAGGTGTAAGCGGTGGAGAACGAAGGCGCGCTATTGTCCTTTCCGGGGAGTAGCGCACTTCACCACCACACCATCCGGGTCCTTCGTTTTGCCTGTCACTCAGTTAGTTCTGTTGATCTTTTGCCACCAGCAATCACCCGTCAACGGGATTGATCTGGGGAGCCAATATCGGCATTGAACCCAGTTAAGCTGAGGCTTAGTTATAATCACAATCTTAACCCTTTTATTTACGGGTGATTGCTGATGGCAAAAGATCAATAGAAGCAGCTGAGAGACAGACAAAACGAAGGACCCGGATGGTGTGGTGGTGAAGTGCGCCACTCCCCGGAAAGGACAATAGGGCGCGTTCGTTCCCCACTGCATACACCTGCGGTCCGGAGTTTTGCAAATATCTCAGCATTATATACGAGTTATATTTCTAAACATACCCTGCCATTAAAAAGAAAAAGGCAGTACATAAAATACTACTAAAGTTTTTCTTTAAGTAATAGGGAGGTTGTCCGAATTTTCATCCATAGCAAATTGCTGCCACTAGAAAAAATGACAAAAACGATATTTTTGATACCAATCAATATCCCTGAGATCGAAATTCTATGTTCTCTCCTTTCTTAAACAATTCTTTTGAATGGTTGATTTCCATGATTATCATATTGTAGTGTATTAATAGTGCGCATACCGCAGTGGTCACAGGCGCCCTGCAATACACATGGGTTAAATCCCTCGCCTCAAGCTCATCGTGCCTTCCATCCCTCCGGGGTTTGCAAATTGGTACCAGAGCTGCCTGGAAGGATAGTTTCACTGACTCGATACGTGAAGAGGCCACGGCGAGTAATTGTATAGGCAAGATATGAAATCAATCATTGCTTCCAACGATGCATAATGAAGTCGAATGCGTGGCGCATCCTTCAAGGATTGATCAACGGCGAGAGCGTTATCCTTTATCTTTTTATCATATTGTGGTAAATCTGTGTGAGAAAGCCCAAGAAAACGATGTGCTGCTGTTCGTTAGGCAAATCGATAATGGTTCGGTCGGCTTGCCTTCCAGCAAAACAGTTCAGCCTTTCATGTTCCGTGCTAGGGTTATTAATACAGTTGCCGATTTGTCCTTGAACAGTACGGGAGAAAGTGAGGTGTCCTTCAAATGAGCACCGTGGTCCATTGTGATGACAACTTTTCCTCTCTCTATGGTTATTTATTAAGCAATAATCAAATTGAGCTAGACTTCTCACCGCTTCTGTTCAGAAAGTAAATCCTCTAGCAAAAGATCAGAAACAAAAAAAGCTATCAGACCAAGAAAAACGAACTCGTGAAAGCGCCTGTAGTTTCAGGTATGGTGTGCCTTATGCTTTTCAGCCGTTTATCGACTGTCCTCTGAACCTTCACTGGAACTCGAACATCGGATTGACGTGGTAGTGCTGTTTCGCTCTTGCTACGTCCGCTGCGCGACTCCGACAAGGCCATGCTCTCTGGGAGATCGTCCCTGAGTGATAAAAGAATAAAAAGTAAAGCGTTCAGATCAATCCCTTAGAAATCCATCATTCATTCGCCCGCATTCATAGCATCGTAAAAATGATTGAACGCATATTTCGTATATACATTTACTTAATGGAGCCTAACGGTCCACCAACCAAATGTTTTACCCGCTCAAACTAAACTGGGACAAAATTTCCGACCCCAGAAGAACGACAGAAGGGCGTGGTTAGACCCGGCACGAGATCGGAACAAACCTATGTGTATTATAAGGAATATTCATCTAACGACTGCGCTATACGTTCCTACAAAGAATTAGAAAAAGCCCAGTAGCTAGAAGCTAGGGGCATATGACTCTCTCGAGGACTTCAAAGACGTTCCTGCAGGCCATCTACGAATGTGCTTAAAACTACTCTGTCCTATTGATTTTTTTAATGTCGTAGTTTATTGCACTGCACTTATCCTTTTACTGTGGCACTGTTGTGATGAAATATTCTTGGATGGTCGAGATATTTCACACCGTTACGGTTTTGTCCTTCAAAGAGAGTTATCCATAAAAAAACGTTCGACGTTTTTACTCGGAAGGGCCAAGAATAAACTTATGTCTGCGTTTATTACAGTCCTGGTAAGCACCTACTCACTAGGCGACATTTCTTACTCAGTTCCGAACCAAAACCAGGCCAAAAATTACCTAAGAACGAGGATGTGACTGCTAAGACTGATCTAAGGGTTCGAACAAATGCCCAGTCAGCGAAATGTTAGTTTTATTTGGATTTTTCTTTTTGCGCTGCCAATTCCCATCAATGCTCTACCTAATGCGTCATTTTCCTGCTCAGCAATCGCGAGGTTGTTAAACAGCTATGGAAGTAAATGTATGCTGCTTAAAAACCTCGCGATTGCTGAACAAGAAAACGACGCATTCATATTCCAATGCCAAGGCCAATAGAAGGTCGATCCTGGGAGCTTTACTTAATATTAATTGCTGATGGATTCTCCAGGAATAGAAATGCTAGGATTCTAGACCTTGGTGTTCACACACTGGGCATTCTCCTCCAAACGGTAGGAGTCCGACATTTCCAAAAGCGCCCAGGTAAGAATAAACCGATGCCATACCTTGTAAGCCACCTATGGTTAACTTTTTACCAAAAATAGAAAAATTGAGGGTTTCACTGCCAACTCGGCAATATACGCTATTATGGTATTATTTGATATGTGGCAATATGTGATGTTTATTCTGCAGCAATTATTTCCCGAATGCCAACGAAACAGCCGATTTTTGATTAATACTATTCGAATACTTATAGGAATCAATCGTCACTTTTATTAGTGGCAATTGAATCAACTGATTGCTACCGTTTCATTCCCTCATACGGCATTACACCTGGTCGCGTTTGCTTCCGATCCCGAAACGTCCAATTTCCGTTGAAGAACGAGGCTTTTTTGGAGCTAAACACATCTCGGTTAAACTCGGATGACATATGGAGCCGTTTACGATGGCACTTTTAAGGCCAACGAAATTTCATCCTCATTGTTGTAATGGCCACGAACCTTTTCGAGAACGTCGTTGACGTCGGTGGTGACGGCGATAGCGGCGGTGGCAGTGAAGGCTGTGGCGCTGGCGCCGATGTCGATGTTTCCATCATCGAATGGCTGTAGCGAGTAAAACGACGTAATGCCGGCTGCTCGTCGTAACCGTAGATGCCAGCCACCTGAAACAAACTTCCATATGGGCAGAAGAACTAAACAAAATTCGAAGAGCCAGAACTCCGTGGGAAAAGTCCTTTTAAAAAGAGACAGGCGAAACGAAGTACCCGCGTGGTGTGGTGGTGGACGCACTACTTCCCGGAAAGGGCAATAACGCGTTCGTTCCCCACCGCATACACCTGCCGTCCGGAGTTTTGCAAATATCCCAGCATCATTAAAAGTCCTTTTAATCCTCGATTTTTTTTTGTCCAGAAATGCATATAAGGTGCTTCAACACTGACACGTTTCTTTCGTATAAATATGAAAATATAATGAGATATTGTTAACTTTTTATTTAGTGTCTATCATTTTATTTTTCACGGCAGCGTGTGATGTGAAGTATAACCACTATGATGTATGAATTCCAGACCAGATTCACACCAACGAATATACTTAGCGAGGGCTCACGTGCTACCTATTGAACCACTGAGATCCTTTCTTTGTCTTTGTCTCAGTTGGTATAATGACATATCCTAAAAAATCCATTGGAGTCTTTTACGGAGAAATTAAATAAAAACTAATAAAAGGAGAACAAGGTTTCGAGACACCGTATAGACCAACGGCTAGCAAACCGGCGAGGAAATAAGTAATATTTGGAAAAAATTGTGCAAAAAACAACGAATTACCGACCACTTAAGGCAACATAACTATGGTGATTTGTTCTGACACAAAAGGGTTAAGGCTACGGTAACTGTAGCACTGGTAGCACTGTGAGAAAGTCGGTGTATCAACCGTCGCAAATGACGGAAGGTCATCACCTAGTTGCGCGGTCTAGTTAATTCATTGACACACAGCTGATCCGACGCTGATGAACTTATCCATTCACAAACAAAAACATACTCATACACATTTATATATATGTATATATATGAATATATACATACGTATATATGGATATATATAACACATATACATACGCATATATATAGTGAGAAACACACACACAAGTACCCCAGAAGTGCAAAGATACATGCATACACACATACACACAAACATACATACATACATACATATATACATACATACATACAAACACACACACATACACACACACACAAACATACATACATACATTCATACACAAACGTGCACACACATACACACATATACACAAATATACACACATACATACATACATAATTACATACATACATACATACACGCATACGCCCATCCATTCACATATACAAACCTTATGCACCGAAATACACAGACGCATACAAATATACACACGCACACAGAGATTTCAACACACAGACACAAACACAGATTTATATACACGAACACCTATGCGCAGCCATTCACTCATACACGTATGCATGAAAAGAAAAATACACACGCATACATACATATAAATGCAAACCTGTACTCACATAAACACTCATGCATATGCTCATGCACAGAGACGCACGTATATTGACACATACGGGTGCGTGTATACACACATACATACATAAATACATGTAAATATACATACACGCACATATGCAAATATATATATATATATACGTGTATTTGTGTATAAACAGCTTGCACGTAAGAACTTGGAAAAACCAGCGGAAAAGTCGTCCTCGAACGTGACGCGGAATAGCTCAGCGTTGTCATGTTTCACAAACGACTCTGTTAATAGGACCGGGTTCACGACGATTTATTCTGTTTACAATCGATGTGAAAATAAAGGAAAAGCCGCTGTCTGTTTGTTCGTTCTTTCCATCGTTGCGATGAGGACTCATTGCAAAAAAGGTTGTAAGGCCAAAAAAAGACCACACATGGGGGAAATTTCAAGCACATTCATGGATGAGACACCTGATTGGCTTCACGTCGATTGCAAACGGGAAAAATCGTCATTCGCATACAAAAACGCAGAAGTAGATTCCATTCATTAGTGAAACTAAAATAGAATGTTTTACTTTTTATTTTCTGCCTTCTATAATTTTTATGGCAGGGTATTAAGCGGAATAAAATAGAATGGTTTACTGCTATAGAAAGTGAAAAGATTTATCAATAGCTTACTGTGATTGCTGATGGCAAAAGATCAATACAACTAGCTGAGAGACAGCCAAAACGAAGGACCCGGATGGTGTGGTGGTGAAGTGCGCTACTCCCTGGTAAGGACAATAGCGCGCCTTCGTTCACCACCACATACACCTGCGGTCCGGAGTTTTGCAAATATCTCAGCATTATACATGAGCTATAGAAAGTATTTTTTCTAGAATTTTTGGCAAATTTTTGCAATGAACACTACAAAAAGAACCGAATTTGTAAAAATTTGTGGCGCAGCATAAAATCCTTTGGAGAAAACTGTTAACGAAACGTGTCGTAAAATTTTTGGAAGAGTTTCTCCTTTTCATGCAGAGATTCTCGAATTTTCTTCAAATTCTAGTGAGCCATCGTTTCTAGCACTTATGAAGCCGATATAGAAATGAAAACGCAAAAAACAAAATGCAATTGGTACTTCACAGGAAAGTTATAAAGCTGAGCTGTGGAAGAGAGAGCGGGAATAAATTTGTGAGATTCTTATAAGCGAACGTTAGAGTTGTGACTTCGTAAAGAGCAATGCTTTGTTGGATTGTTAAGCTGTTACCTTACGAGGTGAATAACAAAATAATAGCAAAAAAAAATATTCAAACGACTGTCGGTTCGAAAAATATTGCTTTGTCATTCGCTAGATGCTATCCAACATCATACCGACTGCTGCAGGATGGATTATCCGTTGGAAAAGAGGAACAGGAAAATCACCGGACAATCACTATCAACAACAATCGGCCTGTATAAAAGAGTGATGTTGGATGAGATTGCCCCATTTGAGCGGTGCTCCACTGAAGAAGATCCGACTCGATGACGGTGGACCATCGACTCGGATCATCGGAGCTGATAAAGGCGAAGACGGCGGACCGTTGGCCAAATAAACACCTTTATTAACTTCCTGTTAGCTCATCAATCCAAGAAGGTATTGATTATTACAATACTACCGAGGTTAAATGATGGTCGGTCTGAAAAATTTCGTAAGGAATAATTGTACTTAAGAAGCCACAAAATGAAAAGCGATGATCATTGGAGAACTAGTGATTTCATTCACTTCTTCGTTATCACCTTTTTCTTTTTCCTTCTTGAGCCCTCGTCTTCTCATTCTAGCAAATTTGTGGAAAAAAGTAACTCAATGAGCACCCAGCGGTATATTCTACTATGTTAAAGATTTCTAGCTTTGTGATCTACGCGATTTTTTGAGAAAATAAGGAATGAAAAAATAAGAAACAACAGAATTGCTTTTTTTCATTCTTAGAATTAATTTCCAGTTAGTTTAATCATCTTATCAGTACCACGCCTCCATAGTGTTATTTTTATCGTTCCATTTTTCCTTCTTATGATGAAATAACGAAAATATGAAACCTTAACCAATAAAAATTTCATGATTATTAAATTCACACATCCACTCAACCATTTACCGTTTCATTGTAGCTAGAAGGGTTTCCTGGGTGTCCGGCTGCGATGTATAGCGAGAGGATTCATTCTCTCAGCAGCGCCTCCGAAGCTGACGATGAGTCTCACGTTTCCATCCAGCTGGAGTGAACCAATACCAAGAATAACCACGCTCCTGGCATCGAGCTAATCGCTTGGTGGCAATCCTTCATCTGATCCACGAAGGCAGCCACTTCTTCGTGTTGTGACGACGTGAAGAAAGCTTCAGCTAGGCCGACCAAGGGACTACAGAGAACCACAGTGGTTGAGCCAGTAAATATGAGGAATGGAAATTTTGCTGGGGTCGCAGAACAAGTGTAATTACGTAAAGTCGTAAATGTGAAAAACTCCTTTTTTCAATAACTTTTATAAGTTTTCTGGATGACATAATCATCGGCTTTTTTTCAATTTAAAGTTTACTTAATTGGTAGAGTAAAAAATATTTATTATGAATTCTATCTCTCTGTCACGGTGTGGTTCGACCTCGCGCCGAGCTCGGCAGCCCCTCTACTTGTTCTTGCAGGTTCGAGAAATTCGTATCAGACTTTCTGGAAAAGCTAAGGAAAAGCCTCTGGCAATAGCCGCATACTCTTGAGATGGAAAGATGAAAGTCAAGATTGATAGATGATGAATAGGAGAAAACAAATCAAGACAAGAAGTGTTGGGACAGTAGATATAAAAGACGAGTCATGTAAAATAAAAATAAACAAAAATTATCACTTTTCATGAACTTCGTCATTTGACTGGTAGCTAAAAGAATTTAAGCCACAAGAATTTGACGTCGGTCTGCGACTGGCCGAGTTCAGAAAAGAAACGCCTTTCCTTGACGGTTCTGGTCCAAATCCGTAAAAGAAAGCATTGATAAAGCTTTCGTTTCTGATCGTCAGACAAAAATAGATTTCTTGTAGAACTAATAAAAAATGCCAAATAAGATGACGTCAGCGAATTCGACTAATGTTTTAGAAAAATTTCTAGCCTTTATTGATGGCTTAAATGACATAACAGGCATTGAACTCGAAGCTTCTTTTCACTAACATTTCTTTGATCAGGAATTTTTGTTGTCGTAAACTTCGTCGGTCTACAAATGCACCAATGACTTCAGACTGAAGAAATCACAACGCTTACTGGAGTGAGGACTAAAAGACGATATTGCTTGACTTTTTATTTACTGCGTATTATTTTCTCTATTGCAAAGTGTTATTCAAAATACAACCACAATAATCCTAAGATATTTACAAAAACCGGGACCCCAGGCCAGCTTCGAACCCGCGATTACCCTTGCCGGGCGCCCACGTATTACCCACTGCACAATCGATTCCCTCTTCATAGGGGGAAGGCAAAGCGAAGACCTCAGTGATGCAGCGTCGAAATTGGCTTGTGGTTCCGAGCCTTGTAAAAACTTGTAAGGAGATGGATACGAGGAAATAAATCGAATGTAAACAGTGGTTGGATCCGCACAGTAGATGAGAAGACGAGTTCTACAGAAAAAACTGCTGTCATTTCTCATGAATATCACTCATGTCAAAAATAGAGACCTAGATATTACTAGGATTATGTAGTGTGCTTGAAAATTAAGCGCACGACAAAAATGACCATGCGGAGAGATATTGGCATATCCATCGAGTGGGTTAGCTGCCACTACCCCATAGGATTGATTTACACCATTTAAAATTCCAATATAGGCCTCGAAGAAAGTAATAGGTAAATAGCTGGAAGGAAAATGGGATATACACGAAGGTTACATATAAAAACAATAAGCCCCACGTCTACTATAGAAGATCTCAACAAGGCACTAACGAAGTACTAACTCTAGGATCTTAACGAATCCTGGCCGTGTGGGAAATTCCTGGCCGATTAGACTCCAGACCTAATGTTTTGTTGCCAAATGGGACCCACTCACACTTCCCTCGATACTTACGGAAAGGGTTCTTGTCGATCACTCGCATTTCTTCCTAACAGAAAAAGCGAACTCACGGAAAATTTGTCAGAGACTTAACAGACAGAGAGATTTAAGAAGATTTAAGAACTGCTTTGAATGCAAACTAACAAAAAATAACCATCCAAAAATTTTTAAAATAAAATTATGAAGAGGCTTTTGACCAAAATCTTTAAATTAGTTAAGTGAGAGTAGAGATAGAAAGTTTGAAGTTCAAAAAGTTGTACTACTAAGGTATTTCTTGATACCGTGACTTTGCAAAGCGCGACCACGAGCTTTTCTCATGAATCAAGGTTTGCGCCGTTTTATCACAGAGCAGGAGCAGAAGAAGAAGAGGAAAGAAAAGGAAAACGATATGGAATTGATAAGACACTAAGATTTTAAAAAAGGAATGAAGCTCTCGGTGTTAATCAATCCCTGGGAGGATGCGCCATGCTTTCGACTTCAATAAGCATCGTTTGGAGGTGACTGAATGCATATTTAAAATGACTCGCAGTGGCCTAACGATGTATCGACCCAATGCTCCTACGTGTGTTGTAGGGCACCTCCGACCACTGCGCCACACGCGTTCTGCTATCTAAGAGAACTAAGATTTAATAACATGGAAATAATAACGCAGTAAGATTAACTCAGGCTGATGGTTAGAAGGAAAACATAAAAAATCCGTATGTTGTGAAATTAAAGAATAAAATTCAATGCGGAAAAATTTCATGTAAGGAGGAATAGGATCATTCGGCAATTTCATTTCTATCAACTAGCTTCCATAATGGTGATATTAGGGATAAAAGGAAAAGGAACGAAAGGGTACCGCCGAAACAGATGGAAGCATGAACAGTTGTGTTTTACAATGCTTTTTTAAAGGACTCCGATCACCCTCCAGTTTTCTCATCGAGCTAAGGGAAAGGGATATTGGAAAAAAAAAGCCATTGAAAAGAAGACATATAAATATTACAGCCCTTAAAACGAGAAAGATGTTGCAACGAAAAAAAATAAACGTTGATAAATGAAAGTCATCTTCATCGAAATTTCATAATGTATAAGATTTTTCCACAAAAACGCACCTCAGGAAATTGTCTCGTACGTAGAAGCATCTGAGGCGGACAATTATGATGTCTAGGAGACAAACGATATCTGCAAAATCGTTACGGTAACGGCAAACAGGATTCCATGTGGGACCAACTGAAATCACACCGTAGTTTACAATAGATCGACTTCAACTCCAAGTTTAACTTCAGGCTCATTTTCCCATCAACATAACCATTTCAATTATAAGAAAAAGATATTTTCATCAAGAGAAGAACGCTACACGCAATGAACAAAACAAAATTTTTCAAGGGAGGTTGCACATAAGAAAAACCGAAAGATTTTAGCAATTATGAACCACGGATCTCCTTCATACGAGGAATTACGAGCCGGTAAGTCGCCAGGCTACGTGGCGCGTCCCCAGGTGGTGGATAGGGGGGTGGTCACGGATCAAAAGCGAACTTTGCTTCCCTGAAATGTAGGTGGATCCAGAAATAGACTCCCTGTTTCTGCTGCGCCGATTAGGCATATAGTTTCTATATATACTAGGTGTATTCATGCACACGTGTGTTGGTGCATTCTAACTTATACAGATTGCATTCAACGAGTCAATTCGGCCGAAAGCCAACAATCAAAACACAGGGAACTATATGGGAAGCGGTTAGGAGTCGCCTCCAACAAATAAGCTCCATAACCACTTTGGGAGAGCATGGCAAGCTACACGTGAATATACCCAGCCTCCACGTTTAGAGCCCAGCATGCTATACGTGGGTATCAAAATGCTAAACACAATTTAAGGAAACGGGCCTCATTCCACTGACCCCGAAAGAGCCTCCAATTTCGCAACGTTGGGTACGACGAGAACGGAGTCGTTGCCGAAATCTCAGGGCCAATGGGAGCTACTTGGATTACAAAGAACTATGGTGACGGTCTCTACCTATAATGCAGCACGTACACTTCCATCCGAGTCCTCGATGGAGGACTTACTCATGCAAGCAAGAGGGATAAGGTACGACGTCATCGTTCTGCCCGAGACGAGACGACACCACCTATTCAACGCCGTCTATGACACCGGAGAAGAACTGTTCCTTGGAACATGCGACAGTAGAGGAGTCGGCGGAGCCGGTATTCTCGACAATGCGAGTTTGTCCATCAACATCGATTCAGTCCAACAACTAAGAACCAGAATCGCACGTTAACAATTTTAAAAAAATGTGGATCAATACCGGCTTTGACAATGTTCGTCGTTTAGGCGCCGACATCAAACTATGACTAAGCAGAAGGCGAAGCGTTCTAAATGGACTTGGAGAAGTTCTACAAAGACCACACAGTCTTCAAGGTCACCATTGGATATTTCAACGCCAAGATTGGACCAAGAAGAGCGTCTGAAGTACGCCTTATTTGGACTCATGGATTAGGATGGAACGAACAGGGTGAGCGGCTTTCTGAGTTTATCATGGCGACCAAGACTATGATCTATGGTAACTCGCAATTCCAGAAGCCCCAGTCTCAACGCTGGACGTGGGAATCTCCAAATGGACAGTACGATAACGAAATAAACCACACCATAGTAAATAGAAAGTTTTGCTTAACCGATGTCGATGTTGTCCAAAAATTCAACACGGAATCAGACCATCGTCTCCCTCGTACAAGATTCTATTTCTCGCGAAAAGGAGAAATAGCCGCTAGATTCAGAAACCGAAGTCCCAGAACCATCGTAAACCGGGACCTATTCTATTCATTAGTAGGCAGCTGGGAAGATGCGGTTGTCGATAACATCGACGAAGAATACGATCGGCTCATTCAACACTATCACGTTGGCGCTATGAAAGCTGAGAGCTCGAAAGTCATCAAGGAACGTCTGCCTCCAGAAACACTCAAGCTGATACGCCAGCGTGGAATCGCACGTGCTTCAGGCAACCGCGAACTAACGTCTGAACTTGCAAATCGATGCAGACAGACGATAAAAGAAGGTCTTAAAGATAAAAGAGCAGCAGTAATGGTCAAATCTGCAGAGGCTGGAGAAAGCATTCGCAAAGCCCACCGAAGCATCGCCAATTAGAAGACCAGGATCATTGCACTCCGACGCTCAGACGGAACAGTTACAGCCTCCAGAAAGGCAATAGAGAAAATCATTCACGAACACTACTCGGATCTCTTCGATAACCACGTCCACCTTCAGCCATATAAAATAACGGAGGATGGATATGTTGTACCACCGGTTCTCGCTTCCGAAATTCGACATGCCATTTCGCCGGTGGAAAATCGAAGAGCACCAGGACCGGACAGCATAAGACCAGAACAACTGAATAACCTTCCGCCAGTCCTCGTAAACACACTGGCTAGGCTCCTCAAACGTTACCTGTTTGAATACAGGGTCCCTAGCCAGTGGAAGACCAGAAAGACCGTGTTATTGTTCAAGAAGGGTGACCTACGTGATACCTGCAACTATCGTCAAATCTGCTTGCCGCCTGTCGTCTGCAGAATTTTCACTCGAGTCATCCTAAACAGGACTGACAAAACACTGGACGAAGGACAGCCATGCGAGTAAGCAGGGTTTCGAAAAGGATTTAGTACGATAGACCACATCAACACGACAACAAGACTCACTGAAGTATCGCCGGAGTACAAAAGACCGCTCCGTCTTACTTTCATCGATTTAAAGAAGGGCTTTGACTCAGCTGGGATAGAAGCAGTCATGGAAGCCCTTGATAGTCAAGGAGTCCCTACTCTGTAAATAAAGATTCTTCGTAAGCTGTACAAAAATTTCGCAACTAAGGTATCACCATTCTACAACGACATTAACATTGACGTCAAAAGAGGACTTAGGCAAGGCGATACCATCTCGCCAAAATTATTTACCGCCACCCTCCAAAACGTCATGCGAACACTGGAATGGAATAATATGGGAGTGAAAATTGAAGGTCGGCAGTTACATCATCTTCGCTTTGCCGATGACATCGTCCTTATAACACCAAACATTAGCCAAACGAAACGTATGTTTGACGACTTTGACTAAATCTCACAAAAACGATGTTCATGAGGAACGGATTGGTTTCGTATGCCTCATTCACGCTCAACGGAACGAATATCTTCGAATGCTCCAGTTATGTCTATCTAGATCAGGAAATCAATATGATGAACGACTTGGCTCCAGAACTGAGCAGAAGAAAACGAGCGGCATGGGGAGCTCTCAAGAGTACCGAGGATGTAGTGAAGAGAACAGAGAACATCCGAATCCATGCCCACCTTTTGGACTCAGCGGTACTTCCTGCCCTAACATATGCGTCAGAAACCTGTACGCTGCGTAAGCAGGATGAAAGGTCACTCAGCGTTATTCAACGAACGCGCAGTCGAAAGGACGATGCTAGGAGTACCCCGCTCCACATGTAAGGGATGGGGTCCGAAGCTCCTACGCACGTCAACGGTCAAAAATCAAAGATGTTATTCTGTACGCCAAACACTCGAAGATTATGTGGGCCGGATATGTATTGCGCATGAATGACAACCGGTGGACAAAAGCCGTTAGTGACTGGATTGCTCGGGATGTCAAACGTACTGCAGGAAGACCACCGACCCGATGGTCAGCGTTCTTCACAAAGAGTCTTGAAGAAAGATATGATGCTCGACGAGTCCCTTGAGCGAGCAGAACCCACTGGGTTACTCTTGCACGCTACAGGGAAAAGTGGAAGGTTTAATGGCACCCGCTCGAGTCTCTCAATAATCAACGGAACTACAGGTGATACAGGTGATTCTGCAAACTATTGAAATAATACAAATTATATCTCTATAAAAGCGAACATAAGACAAAAATAAAACCATTCGTAGAGTTTTAATTCCTAAATTAATTATTAACATTATAATGAGCTGTACTCAGTGGTCGCACTGGGGTGTACCGGCCTTACCTCTTCCGTTTCATCACCCATACGAAAATGTGCCTTATTTTGAGCAGGAAGCTCATTGTAAGTAAATGTATCTAGGAAGTGT